CGAGGCTGACCTCCCCCCTCTCCTCCCCAAGATCATCTTTGTCCCCCTTTCGTCCCGTCCACATTCGCAGGAATCAGCACCTCTAGGACTGGGGACCTTTGCCCAAGGTCCTGCCACTCACTGGCAGAGAAGGTGACCCAGCAGGGGCATCGTGGCCATCCACGCCTATGCTTCTCCCACAGCAATGGGGGGGACTTCACGTGATTTTGTTTGGTAGAGCCATCTTCCAGGATGGGGTAACTGAGACCTCCCTGCCTTTCCTTGCCTCTTCGCTTCCATTCTTTTTCCCTCACCAACACCACAAATGAAACGTTAATAAGTAACGTTCTTGAGCACTTACTGTGGGGTTTTAAGGAGCAGACACATATTAGTGATTTAATCTGTCCAGCAACCTGTGAGGTGGACGCATGAATCCCCATTTTAGAAACGACGGATCCCAGAGAGCCCAGGGCCTTCCCCTCACCCTGTTCCGCACCTGCTCCACTTGCGCCATGGTCTGACTCCCGAAAGGTCGAGAGTGTGTTCAGAACAGTCTCAACAAGCATCTTCATGCGTCGGAGGGGCCGAAGAGGACCCACTTTCGGGGGCTGCTCTCGGGGGACACACCTCTGTATGCCACTCGCTTGTTTAAAATGTCATAAAATAGGGGCACCTGGGTGGCTCAGTCGGTTAAGCATCCGACTTCAGCTCAGGTCACGATCTTGCGGTCCGTGAGTTCGAGCCCCGCGTCGGGCTCTGGGCTGATGGCTCGGAGCCTGGAGCCTGCTTCCGATTCTGTGTCTCCCTCTCTCTCTCTCTGCCCCTCCCCCGTTCATGCTCTGTCTCTCTCTGTCCTAAAAATAAATAAACGTTAAAAAAAATTTTTTTTAAATGTCATAAAATATATATAGCATCGTATTCATCACTTTTTCTTAATGTTTATTTTTGAGAGAGAGAGCATGAATGGGAGTGAGGCAGAAAGAGAGGGGGCACAGGGAATCCGAAGCAGCCTCCGGTGCTCAGAGCAGAGAGCCCGATGACAGGGCTCGAACCCACAAACCATGAAATCGTGACCTGAGCCAAAGCTGAACGCTCAACCAACTGAGCCACCCAGGCTCCCCATGATATCTGTCACTTTAGCCATTTGTAAGTGCACCGTTCGGTGGCGTTAACCCCCAACACCCGCGTTAACCTTACACCCGCAACGTCGTGTGAGCCTCCCCTCGACTTATGCTTGGACCTTTTTCATCATCTCCAACAGAAACTCTGTACCCATCAAACCATAACTCCCCCTCCTCCAGCCTCCTGTAACGCCTACCCTATCCCGTGTCTCCAATCTGCCTACTTTAGGAACCTCACATGAATGGGATCGTACTACGTCTGTCTTCTGTGTCTGGCTCCTGTCGCTAAGCAGAATGTTCCCAAGACCCGTCCACCTTAGAGCACGTGTCAGGACTTCATTCCTTTTATGGCCGGATAATATTCCATAGTACGTATGCATCACGTTGTTCATCCAGTCTTCTGTCCCTGGCCACTTGGGTCGTTTCCACTATCGCGAATAACGCTGCTACGAACATCGGGGCGCAAGTATCTGTTTTGAGTCCCTGCTTTCGCTACTTTTGATACATGCCAAGGAGCAGAAATGCCGGGTCACGTGGTTGGTCCACGTCTAACTTTTTGACAACCCCCCGGGCTGTTTCCATAGCCTGCCACTAGCCCCTTAGCTAGCCTCTGCCTTGACCTTGCTGTGTTCAAACCAGAACTCGAACACAGATCCAGCTCGGCTGGCCAGCCCCGGGGAGGCCATCCTTACACTCATGGCAGGGCCATGGCAACCCCAAGCATTCCCAGGTGCCAAGAGCCCAGCCCTGCCCGCCACTCCGCCTTCCCCCTGCAGAGCGCTGGGCCCCGCCTGGCAGGGGCAGGGGCACAAAACTGAATGGGCGGGCACCTGTTCCTGGGCTGCGGGATTCTCTTGCCTAGCATGCTGTCTTTCTGTCTTATCCTAACAGGCTCCAGAGCCCTATCACAGGCGGGGGGCATATCGCAGGTGCTCAATAAACACTGGTGAGTGAACGAATGAATGTTGATGTCTATTTCTGCCCCTAAAGGACTATGAGCCAGGGGCAGGCGAGGGAGCAAGGCTCCTGACAAAGCAGGCAAGGAATGCTGAGGCTGGGCCGTGGGGAGCTGTGAGTTCCTCCATCCTCACCTTCTGGGGCTCCCCCTGGAGACAGACAGGCCCCCCGCCCCACTGCCCCACGGAGGCATGGGGAGCCGATGTATTTGGAGAAAGGGACTTCCCGCCAGAGCCAGCCAAGGTGCCTCTGGCCTCAGGCATAGGTGCGTAAGAGGCACCAGCTCATAATAAACGTCAAGGTGAGGATGGCATTCCGGGGGTGGGGGGGGTGCTTTTGCCTTTATCTGCCATTTCTTAGGTGCCTGCTATGGGACAGGCCCTGTGCAAATATGTATTGTTTCATTTCACTTTCCCAAGAGCCCCACTTCACAGATGAGGAAACTGAGGCTAAGGAAGGTGTTATGACTTGTCCAGTGTTCCTCGTTGCCCAGTGCCGGGAAAGGTGGGATCCGAACCAGGGACTGTGCTGCCAATGGTCCAGAGTACATGTCCTGCTCCTGCCCCCAGCGCCCCCTCCCTGTCTGTCTTCCCTCGGCATCGACCCCTCGGCTACCGCAGACCCGAAGCGGTGCCCACCGCCCTAAATTTCTCCTTTCCTTCCAGCCAGGGCAGAGGGCTCATCGGGGGTTCCCCTCTCCCTCCGGCTCCTCACTCCCTCTGCCCTGGTCCACCTGGCAATGCTAGGTTCTCAGCCTACCCTGGCCGCCCCCTCTGCTCTCCTTGGCATTTGGGAATGATTCCCACAGGCTGCGTATGGCTCTCTGGGGGCTAGAACGAGGGGCATACGTGGTTCCCCTCCCTGGGGCACTCACCAAGCCATACCCTCAGCTCCCTTGGCCATCCTCTGGAGCAGAAGAGGGTAAGGAAGGCTGGATAGGGAATTCTAGGGAGACTGAAGGAAAAGCAGGGAGTGTGCGTGGGCCGAGCCTCTCTCTGAGTGGGGCATCGTCCTGGGCATGCTGACCCCACTCTCTTCCTTCCCACAGGCTGTCCCTCCCCCTCCCAGGAGACTCCCTGCCTCGCTGGAGGCAGCTCAAGGGAGGGGGCCCAGGGGACAGGACTCCAGCCCGGCAAGAGCCCCCCCTTCCCACCCCTGACAGGGCAAGCTGGGCAGAGGAGAAGCAGAAAAGCCTGTGTTTAACTGGAGCCGGCAGTCTAAACATCAACATCTGTTCGTGATTTCAAAAACAAAACAAAACTACGGTCTGCAGAACCAGTTCCCAGGGCAGATGAGATGGCAGGGAATTCCGTCACTTTGTTAAGAACCCAAACTGCTTTCAAGTCCTTTGGAAACCATTTAAACTGTACAGATGTGCTTATGAAGCAAACTGTGCAAATTAGCTTATAAACTATGAGTGAGTCCTGTGCCTCTAGCCTGGTACTCAAAGCAGGTGCTGCAGGGGCCCCAGCCAGGTCATACAGTAGCTTATTCTCAACTATCATTGTAGCATATCTGAAAATAATATTAGGGATTTCCTTGCGAAGGCTCAGTGATATAGACATTCCGGTCGTTTCTTCCCTAATTATGTCTCCCTCGACTGTTTCTAAAAAGTATTTGCTTATTGTCTTTGTCGTATCGACAAAACTGGGCAAAAGGGCCCTTCTTCGTACCATGGGGGTTGAACAGCATTGCCGAAGCCCTCCCAGAACAGACGCGTGGGTGGGCTGCTACGTCCTTACTTGCTAAGTGACCTTGAGCGACCAGCTTCTCCTCCAAGTGCCCGGTTACCCTGACACGCTAGCAGCTAAATCAGGGTTTCAGATCACATGCGTGCTTCCGTGGGACCTAATGCGGGAGCACCTGCAGACACACTGGGTGCAGCAGCATCGCAAAGGGGTCCCGCTCATGCGCCGATGCCTGTCCTGCCTCCGATTGTGCAGACAGTTGGGGAATCCTGCCAGAGCTCAGAGAGGGCATCAAGGGTCAGGGGAGCATTATCTCCATTTAGAAAACGGGAAACTGAGGTTGGAACGGTTGAAGCAGTTTGTCAGGCACGTATCGGCTGCCCAACAGTACCTGTTGGCTCAGGAATCACTCCTGGAGACATAAGGACCCAGGTCCACAGCTCACTGCTCTCAGGAGACCCGCTCCTGGTGGGGGAGCCAACTTTCCTTCTCAGCGAACCTTCCCTGGAAAAATCTCTGTATGAAGCCAGGTCCTCCTGCCTGTCCTCAGCCAAGGAGAGAAGGGGCCTGGGGAGGGGGCGGAGAGAACACCAGCCAGTGCACTGACGCTGACCTGATGGCATCCAAGGCGGGAGGGACGAGGGCCTGTCTGGAATGCAGTAGCCTAGTGCGGGAGGGAGGGAGGGACGCAGGCAACCAGGAGGGAGTGGGGTCCTCGTGCATGGCCCCCACATATGCGCTCTCGTGGCCTCCACGGCCCCCCTCCCCCACCAGGGTCTCCCTTCCAAAGGGGTTGGGGACAGCAAGTTGTTCCAGCCTCTCAGGGCCTCTCCCAAAACGCTTGAGGGAAAATTGAGCCCAACGGACAAGCACGTGACCTCCCTTTGTGAAACTCATAAACACACCCGTGTTCATCCCCACCTGGAAAGCCCAGGAAACACCACCCGGGAACCCCACAGGGCGCATGCCCCGCCAGCTCCAGCAGGTGCCTTTCGGGAGATCTGTCTGCAGCTTCCAGGACACAGGCTCTAAGCAGCTGCCTCTCTGTGCAGAAGGTGCTGAGGGAGCTTTCCAAAGGCAGAGCCACACTGCCACTTTCCGTCAAGGACAAAAGAGCACAACAAGGGACCAGGAGGACAGTGTGTTACAGCCCCTTTATCTACTTCAAGGCCTGTCACTACCCCCCTCCCAAGAATTTGTCCTTGATTTGGTTGGGGAGGTGGTTAAAATGTCCTTTTATGATATGAGAATGTTGTGATAGTGGTTAGTTTCTTTTTAATGGGCTTACTTTGCAGAATTTTACATCCTCATATTCTTTTGAGAATTCTATATGCCTCTGAGGTAAGAAAAAAAGTTGGGGAACCACTGGAGAGAACACAAAATGGAGCCCCCCCCCCCCACTTTTTGGGTTTCACCGTTTTTGTGTTTGAGAGCCTGATGTCACCTCTGGATCCTCTCCCAAGAAAACGGTATAAACACACTTTTACACGCAGCTTCAAGCCTCTGAAGCCCTGGAACTCTCCGTGAAGAAAGCAGGAAGGCTCCTTAAGCGAGGGTCTGGATAGGCACCCACAGACTCAGGGAGGTTCTTAGGAAAGGCAGTGTCTTTGGGTCTCCAGGCTCTGGGTTAGTGATTGGCATCAATCTAAATGCTCTGGTGGATCTAGAAAGGAAGGGGAAAAGAAAGAGCACCGGGCAGGGAGTCGGTGTGCTGGCTCTGCCCTTGACTCCCTGCGTCACCTTGGCCGAGGGATTGCCCTTCAAGTCTCAGATCTCCCAACTGCTCAGTGAAGAGGTCAACTGAGGGGAAGTGCGAGGTCCCTCAGGGACCATATTCCAGAAGCGAAGGAGTTTCTAGTAGGGAGTTCCAATAGCAAAAAAATATTACTTCCTTGGGCTGTCCTGGAGCTACCGGAGGGGTGACGTCCACGCGGGGCTTGGAAGAAAGCTGTGCTGGTTATTTTCTGTTCCTCTCTCCCCGCCGCTCCCCATCTCTGGAGGCTGACCCCACAGACCATGTTGCTGGGACCTTTGCCAGTCAAAGGGACACACTGACAGGTGAGCAGATGGGAGAAGAGAGAAGTTGGGCCTTTACCCCACCCCCAGCGGCCCTGTGCTCAGTGGAGTTGCTCTAGCTGTGGTTGCTCCCCCCCAACTCAGCTCCTGTTGGATGGTCCCCAGGGCCCCCTGAGGATGTCTGTAGCAGGTTCGGGTGCTGCTGCGCTGCCCCTCGCCCCACTCAGGTCCAGGGCCGGTTACCACCTGCCCCCGCGTAGTTCCTGGGTACCTCCCCACTCCTAGCCGGTCCCCTTAACCCTGCCCACATCCCTGTGTATGGTCCTCGCATTCAATCCTCATCACAATCCAAGCTAAGGCCGCCATTCATTCTCCGCCCGGGCCCTGAATGCCACAGCGTCAGGCACATGGTATATACTATTTGTAATTAAATATTAAAATTAAAGATACGCCCTGATTTCCCTTTATCCAAAGTCCTTAAATATCATAAGAAGTGTATCTCTTGGAAAATTCTATGCCAGCGCTAGGGTAAGAAGAGGTCAGAAATTGCTACGCATCCCTGAAAGACAGAAGGCCGATGGGATGGGATGGGATGGGATGGGATGGGATGGGATGGGATGGGGAGATGGCAGCCGGAACCCGGGCAAGATACAAGGTGCCTAAATCTGACTGCACCATAACGTACAGCTTCCCTGTGACAAAGTACCCTCTAAAATGGCTACAAGCTCCGGGGAGCCTGGGTGGCTCCGCGGGTTGAGCCTCCGACTCTTGATTTTGGCTCAGGTCATGATCCCAGGGTGGTGGGATCGAGCCCCACGTCGGGCTGTGTGCTGAGTGTGGAGCCTGCTTAAGATGCTCTCTCTCCCCCCTGCCCCTCTCCCCCACTCACATTCTCTCTCTCTCTCAAATAAAAAATACTAAAAATAAAAGAGGTAGAAAGCTAGATTTTTAAAAATTTCAAAAATAAATAATGGCAAGCCCAGACCGACTGGGTAAAAGAATTTGTTGTATATCTATCCACCTATCTATCCAGGAATTAAACAGATTATACTAAACATTTATGCATATTTTTTCATATTAATTTAAGAAAGACAACCTAGTACGAAAATAAACACATAAGAGAATAAACCCAAAGGGCCGATAAACATGTGAAAAGATGTTCCATCTCACTAGTAATTGAAAAAGTCGTTTTAAGATAAAAATAAGACTGTTTTTTTCCCTTATCCAATCGGCAAAAGTTAAAAAAGGTCGGTGACCTCAACTGTCAGAGTGGAAAGGGGGAAGCGGGTGCCGTCATGAGCCGTTGGGTGTTTAATTCAGCCCAGAAGGTGGCCTCATTTAGTTCAAAGAGAGAATGACAGCTACTTTGAGATAGCGTAAACATGCTGTCACCTAGGCCTTGTGCATGGGTGACGTGAGCAGAGGGTAGGAAAAGGAAAGAATAAGCTAAGGGGGGTACGAGATGACACTTAAAAGGCCCGTGTCTTAGAAAATCTGTCACCATGACTCACAGGAAATAAGCCTTCTTGTGGGTGTTGAGGGGAACCTCTTGAAAGTACGTGGGGGTTTGAACAGCATAAAGTCCGAGAACCACAAGACCTTAAGGGAGGGCTTTCAAAGAAATCATTCTGTCCCCCTCAACCCCTCCACCACCCAACCGAAGAGAGCTAGGGCACCCTTCCAGAAGGATTCCAATCACTGACCATGTCAAAGGGGATGCCAGTACCAAAGAGGATTCTGGTATTGCTGGCTCCAACACCCACCTGTGAAATAAGCAAGGGCCTGGAATCAGATGCCCTCCGGCCTCCGTATCCCGATCCATAAAATGCGGGTCATACCACCACCTTGTGGTATTGCTGGAGCGCTGAATGGGATGATGACCGTCAACAAAGCCAACTACAATGCCTGACAAAGTAAGTGCTCTCCTACAGGACAGAATAAAATAAGCAAAGGTTATTGAGCTGAGGACGGACTGGCTGCAGTGTAGACGGAGGCCACAGCAGAATGGAGAGGACGTTCCCTCTAAGGGAACGTGTGCGTCTGATGATATTTGAGAGCTGGAAATAATGCAGCATATATGGGAAATGAAGGGTCACCATCTTTACAAGAGACCAACACCGCAAAGGAAAAGTCGGCGAAAGACACGGACCATTCGGAAGGGAGAACGTAAGTGTCCAATATCCATGAACTACAGTTCACGCGTACTATCAACTTAAAAGGAATATAAAATTAAGCCAGTATGAGATGCTGTATTTTGAGCTACCAAACTGGCGAGAACTTTTAAAAAATGCAACGGGAAGTGCTGACGAGAGCGGGAACAGTAGTCTCGTCACCTGCTCCTTGGGAATGCAGGTAGGACATTTCCAGGGGACACACTGGAGGGGGCGTATCCAAAAACTTTGAAATGGGCAGCCCTCTTATTTAGAAAATAACCAGAAGTTTGCACCGCCCTATGCAGATTTAGGGGTACCAACTTCTTTCTCCTCCACCCCTCTACCCTCAAAGACTGAGCCATGATTTCCCGGCCCCCCGTCAACAGGACCCGTGGCTCCTCACGCGAGACGGGAGAGCAGTACAAGAGACAGACAATGGAGTCCGGCTGGAAATGGAACAGATGAAGTTGGAGACAGGCAGTCATTTTTCCAGAGCCAAGAGAAAGCTGACCGTCACCAGAAACAGGGGACAAAGCAGTTGCTCTCGCGGGGGCGGGGGGGGGGGCACCAAGACAAAAGTGAGGGTGCGTCATCAGGTCCTCAGAGTGACAGACGCCAAGAAGGGATGAGATGTAGGAGAGATTTATTGGGGAACTCCCTGTGAAGGATAAAGGGGGAGGGGAAGAAGGCAGGGAGGGCCTTCGGATGGGCCCACGATGCGGGTCTGACAGTTGTGAAAGAACAGGAAGGAAGGGCCCCACGCGGCCGTGTGGCCTGAGGCGCTCCTGGGCCGAGCATCGGGAAGAGCCCTGGGAAGGCTGCCAGTTGGAGAAGCACCACAATGGGCAGAAGGTGCCCAGCTCTAGAGGCCCCTGGAGCTTCCTGACCCAACCCTGCTTGGTCCCGGGCCACCCAAAGGCAGGGAAACTTTCTAGAAGCCGGCTGGCCTGCCCTAATCCAAGTGAGCAAACGTACAGAAACGCTGTCCACTAGCTCAGCCAGGGATCCCCCAGGGCCGGCCTCGTCCAGGACACCCCCACGTCAGCCCTTCCCAAGGCCTCTCCCTGGCCTGCACCCACCACCCCTCCCACCAGGCTGCCCCACACCCGCTCTGGTCACTTAGAAGTCAGCATGGCTTTCCCAGAGAACAGCTGCATGGGACACCGAGGAGTGCCTTTGTCCCCTCGTCCCGGCTCCTCTAGGAGGGAAGGAGACCCGGACGGAGAGCTGGAGGCTGCCACCGGCCCCTGACTCCCTGGCATTACCTGCCTCCTGGCTCCAGCGTCCCTGACTTTTAAGGAGCCTCCTGTGTCCACATCACTTCTTTGGTGGCACCTCAGCCGGGCTCCTTTGTTCCGGGTCTCGTACCCTACATTAACTTTGATCTCACCCTCCAAATAAGCATCCCATTCACAGTTGAGGAAATGGAGACTCAGAGACACAAGTGGTCCACAATCCAACTGCCAGGGTATGGATGCCCAAACCGCTCCTGCTGCCTGAGCAGAGAAAGGGGTGTGTCTCATGGTATTCGGGGAATGCCACAGCCAGGGACAGTGCAGCCAGGAGAAAGGCCCAACCAGCATGGGCCGCTCTAGGGACACGGGTGTCTTCCAGAGCCAGAGGGTGGGAGAGGGAGTGGGGGCTGGGGGAACAAAGATACTGCTCGAATTTTCACAACTAGCAGCTGATCATGCTTTACCTAGGTGAGTAAAAAATGAACCGCCTTGGGGCGTCTGGGTGGCTCAGTCGGCTAAGCGTCGGACTCTCGACCTCAGCTCAGGTCATCACCTCACGGTTTGTGAGATCGAGCCCCACGTCGGGCTCTGTGCGGACAACACAAAGCCTGCTTGGGATTCACTCTCTTCCTGTCTCTCTGCCCCTCCCTCGCTCGTGCTCTTTCCCTCTCTCTCAAAAATACACATTAAAAAAAAAAAAGGCAAACAGCCTTTTGTGAGGTAAAACCGATATAAAGATACGACAGTGCTGATTCTGCAGAAGCAGCTGGGGGTCCCCTACTGGACACGGCAGGGAAGACCTGTCAGCAACTTCTGGGCGGGCACTCCATTCTTCCAGTTCATCCTAAACTGGTTCTTGGGATGAGGAGGGAAACCAAAGGCCCTCTGGGGGCCCCTCTTGCACAGAATATGGCCCATTCCTAGTGTCTGCTCAAGGCCGGGAGGGTAAACAGGGTCAGGAGGAGCTCAGATCACTGGTGCCGTGGGGTCCTGGGATGAGGTGGCTTGACTCCAGGCATAGTATGCCCGCAGGCTCCACGACCTCGGTTGTTTCCTCATTCTAGAAGCTCTGTCAGAAGAGAGCGGTGGAAGTCCGGGCCCCAGGCTGAACTCTGACCTTGTACTCCACCTCACAGCTCCTGTCTACCAGCACCCCGTGCCACATCCGTTCTCGCCATACCCAGTGCGCATGACTCGTTCACCCTCTTCCCTGAAATGCCACAGGCTCCGGAAGGTGGGCTGTCCCTGTCCACACACCAATTTGTACCTGTCGAATCACCGCCCACAGCCCACTTTCAGGTATCTCCAAATTATACACCCACCCTTATGTATGGAAGCCCGCGTGTGCTCATCGGCCCCCACAGGTACACCCCCAAGCTAGGCAGGGTCCCACCTAAGGCCGTCTGGTCTGGGCACAGGGACAAACCGGTGTGGCAGGCCCCCCGGGAGCCCCGGAAGCCTTTGGGAAAGGACACAGTGCAAGGGTGTGGGAGCCAGGCCCTCAGGGTGCAGTGGGAGGACAGGGTACCCGGGGGGACACTCCCGTGAACACCATCCACTCCTGCGTATCCCTCCACGCAGACCCTCGTACCCCAGGCAAAGAAGCGCCCCTCCCCGACCAGGCGCACACACACACACACACACACACACACACCACACACACACACTGGTGTGCATGTCTCCATACTCACGTTCAGAAGCCACATGGGGCATCCTTGGACTCTGCTGTGCGGGGAGGTAACCCCAGGAGGCCTTCCCTCCCAGACTGGGAAAATCACCTACCCCAGCACATGGGGCTCTGGGTTCCATCCTGACCACCCCCCAGCTGACCTCAGAACTAGAACCCAGAGGTCTTTCATTCCCCTAACCCTGGGAGAGTGTGGGGAGAAAGCCTGGGGTCTGCTCTTCACCTCACTCTCCTCACTGCCTCTTCACACACTAATCAATGCAATTGTGTCTGAGCATTTGGGGGCCTGAAGGGGCCAAGGAAAGCCTGCGGGGGTGAGAGGAGGGAGTAGAGGCTGAGGTCCACCCTCCATCATAACCGTTGAGATTCCATTTTGCTCCATGTCTCTGAACACAACAGTCCTTCACCTCTGAGTATGAATTAGCCTATTATGCTGCTGGACAGCCCTGGGCATCCTGAGTGAGACGGTAACGCATGAAGGATGTGAAGGAAGGAGAGGGATGTCAGGAAAAACTTACCTTCTCCAAGAATTGGGAGCACTAAGGGCTGGTGCTTTCAACTCACCTTGCCCACCCACCACAGCTGTATCACGTCTGTAACATCTGCCCCACACTACAGACATCAGCAGGCGGGGCACATTTCACATTTAGCCATTTTTTTAATGCTCAAAAGCTCTGTACAAAAAAAAAAAAAGTCACAAATGAGTCCTCACAACACCCCTGTGAGGTAGGTAGGCAAGTATTATTCTCCCATTTTACAAATGGGGAAACTGAGGCAGAGAGGCGCAGTGACCGGCCAGTGGTCCCAGCATAGCTGAAAGTCAGGGCCAACCGTGAAAACACAAAGGATCCCTCTCGGTTCAGCCTGAGCTCTGACCCCTCCTCTAGACCTTGTCTGCAAAGAAATCAAAACTCTCTAATATATGCAAAAATCAACAAACCTGACAGATCTGAAAAGGGAGGGAATGGACATACAGTAGTTTCGCAGATTTCAGCCGAGATGGCCCAATTCCTTCCAATGCTAGGGAGATGGGAACAGAGACACATCCGCCTGATTTTCCACAGAAGCGCACGCACCCAACCAGGAAGGGCCGCATAGGCAGCCTTCAGGCCGCCCGGCCCCTGGGCTTCAGCGGAGAACGGTCCCCAGAGGAAGAGCCAGACTCAACTCCACAGGGCCGTGCCCTCCCGCCCCTCCCAGCGGCCTTCCCACTGTCGGGACAGCCTCCTGCTCACCAGCCCCTTCTGTTCCCTCTGGAGGGAAGCTCAGGGGGGTCCTCAGCTCGTATGGCCTGCAACCCAGGTGAGCCCTCACACCCTCCTTAGCCCTCTTCACCATTCCCTCAGGGTCACCCAGCAGTCCTCGGGGCTCCTGCTGCAGCAGATGGGGACTGGAGCCATCTAGGCCACCAGGGCAGGGAAGAAGCACAGAAGGACCCACTGCTGGGAGCTTGGCTTCCTCAGCCCTTCCCGCCCTGGCGCCCGGGAAACGGAGCAGGCCTCTTCCCGGGGCCGCATCCACCTTCTAGAAGCTCTTTCCTCCCGAGAGGACCCCTCCCTTCCAGCTCCTTGGAGACCCTCACAGTCCTGCCATCCCCAGGAGACGGACAAGGGGAAGGAAGGAGAAGGGGCACGAGAGGCCAGGGAACTGGGTGAGGCTGCCATTAAAGTGACCAGTCCACCAAGAGCCCTGTCCACTCCCTGGGGAGCCAGGGGCCCCAGGGCAGTGCTCAGGCAGCAAAAGGGGAGAAGCCGAGCAGGAGGGCGGCAAGAGAAAGCAAGAGAAGGAACCGGACTCTGCACCTGAGGCTGTGAGGACCGCTCGGAAGCGGGAGAGGAAAGCGCATGCGTGCAAGTGGAGCGTGGCTTCGTTTGGTGGCTACTTGGGGACTGAGCTCCTTGGAAGCCATCTTCGGTCTGCAAGGCACACGCCGGGCCCGTGCGCCTGTGGTTTACAAGTATACCTGTGCACTAATTGTCCTATCAAAACCTCTTCTTAAAAAAGGGTCCCAACCCCACTCCAGTCTCTGCGGGAAGCTGGGGAATGGGTTCCTCAGGACGGCTCCCAGTGAGGAGCACCTGGAGCACGCCGGTGGGAGGGGGCACACAGGGGCAGGGGAGCGCCTCCTACAGGAAGTCTCCAGCAGCGGCGGGCTCAAGGCCGTGGCTCTGCTCCTGCCACCGGCAGCGCAGCCCGGAGAAGGGCTGGTCCTGCACGTTCTCCAGCTCGGGGAAGCCCAGCTGATTGAGGATCTCATAGACTCCGGCCTTTGATGCCACCTGGGGAAGA